AAATTCAGGCGCGAGGAGCCCAACAGCGACGACAGTTATAGGATCTGGATGACCCGTTCCGACTGCCATCATGAAGCGCGGGCCCCATACGGAGGGGGCTCCCACATGAGACACCCCCGCAATTCACTCACAAACAAAGCTCCAGCCTGAAGCTTCTTCAAAATTCTGGCGCGAGGGGCCCAACAGTTACAACAAGCACAGGATCTGAATGACCCGCTCCGATTACTAACATGAACCGCGGGCCTCATAGGGAAGGGGTTCCCGCTTGATCTTTCTTCGCAATTCACTCACAAAGGAGGCTCCCGCCCGAGGTTTCTTCAAGATTCAAGCGCGAGGGGCCCAACAGCGACGACAGTTACAGGATTTTGATTTCCCGCTCCGAGTAACAATGTGAACTGCGGGCCCAGGGGCTCCCGATTGAGACTTCCTCGCAATTATCTCACACATGAAGCCCCTCTAGTTCGATGTGTCATGATGGGATGGTGATAGTGATGCCGATGGTGGTGTGCGCCGCTGATGACCGAGGATCACGATGAGATCATGGCATGACGTTTATTGGGTGATGAGCGACTGTGAGTGCGTGAGAGAGATAGTGGATGACGATGAGGGTTGATGATGCTGATGGGATGGTGGAAGTGGTGATGATGGTGAGTTGGATGATGGTTGATGGTGGTGATGATGATGTTGATGACTGACAGGAGGCGTGGATGTGAAGAGGACAGGGTGCGGGTGAGGACCGCGCGGGGTGCCCCAAAAAACAAGAAGCCCATTTAGAATGTGGGGAACAGGGGCACCGAAAAAACAAGAACCCCACCGACGCGACCGAGAGTTCCGGGCTGAAACTTCCTCCGACATGCTCAAGCATGATGAGGCCAAAAGTGACGACAGTTACAGGATCCCGACGAGCCGCTCGGATTAGTAACAAGAGCTGTGGGGCCCGTAGGGAAGGGGCTCCCGCCTGAGACTTCCTCGCAATTCACTCAAAGACGGGGCGCCCGCCTGAGGCATCCCCCATGCTCCAGTTTGATGAGGCCAAAAGTGAGGACAGTTACAGGATCCCGACGACCCGCTCGGATTTGTAACATGAGCTGCGGGCCCCATAGGGAAGGGGTTCCCGCCTGAGACGTTCTCGCAATTCACTCACAGAGGAGGCTCCCGCCTGAGAATTCCCCCACAGCCAGGCCTCATGAGCCCAAAAGCGCGGACACTTACAGGATCCCGATGACGCGCTCGGATTATTAACATGGGCTGCAGGCCCCATAGGGAAGGGGCTCCCGCCTGAGACTTCCTCGCAATTTACTCAAAGACGAGGCGCCCGCCTGAGAATCCCCCCCTACAGGATCCCAATGACCCGCTCGGATTAGTAACATGAATCGCGGGCTCCTTCGGGAGGGGGCTCCAGCCTGAGACTTCCTCGCAATTCACTGTTCCGATGACCCGTTCATTTTAGTAACATAATCTGAGGCCCAAACAAGAGCCCCACTTTGGATGAGCGCTTGCACGTCAGAGTGTGTGAGTCAGTGAGGGAGCTAGTGTGAGTGAATGTGACGGTGGTGATGATGATGCGTGAGGGAGTGAGTGGGTGAGTGATGCTGATGATGATGATTGCAGAAGGACAAGTGAGTGCGTGAGTGTGAGTGAATGTGATGATGGTGAGGATGATGATGGGTGAGGGAGGGGAGTCGGTGAGTGATGCTGCTGCTGATGATGACAATGATTGTAGAAGGACAAGAGACGGGAGAGGGTGAAGAGGACTGATCCTGCGCGGGGGTGTACAAAGAAAACAAGAAACCCATTTAGGATGTGTGGAACAACCAACAAGAACAACAGCAACCAGCAGCAACAACAGCAATCCACAGCAACAACCAACAACACCAACCAGGACAACCAACAAGAATAACAACAATAATAATCAATCACAACAAGCACAACCAACAAGAAGACCAACAGCAACTCAATACCAACAACAACACGAACAACAGGACTAACAATAACACCAACAACCACACACCACCTCACACACCACCACACACACACCACCACACACACACACCACTAAGCACAGCATCCTTGCCTGTTTTTGTTGGTGGGGCCGTCAGGAGCACCATAATATACAACCATCAGAACCCAGGGGGGCGCTGGGGGGCGGGAGCGGGCTGCACCCAGGGCCTGGTCACCCATATCATGTTTATTACTACTACTACGAATACTACTACTACTACTACTACTACTACTACTACTACTACTACTACTACTACTACTACTACGACTACTAGC